GAGAGACAAGAGAGATTACGATAGATAGATTAAGCCGATCGCAGGCTAAGGTTAGAGAGAGACAGATAGAAGCAGAGAGACCAGAAAAGAGAGAGGGCGAAGCCAAGAAAGAAAGAAAAAGAAAAGCAGAGCACGAGACAGTAAATAAACGAAAGGAAGAGATAGAAATAAAATGAGAGAGAGAGAGCTATAACATGTACATACATATAATATCAAAGTAGCAATAATAGGGAATATAAACTTATATAATTTTGACCAATATATTTCTATTTCTAATTTATACACACCATATATATATATATATATATATATAATATATATTATAACGCGATCGTAGGTTGGTGTAGATCGCGTAGTCAGCATGTGCGATGACTCCTTCTTGTAGTAGACCGAGGTCATCGCCTGAGAGCTGTCGAACTTGGAGGGCTCAGGGCTGGTCCACGCTATCAGCATCCTTGTCTGACAGCTGTAGCTCGCAACCGCTTCATGAGGCGATCCTTCCTCCAACGGCCCGTCTGCCCGGACAACCGCATAAAGCTGGCAATTGTACGGAGGCATATACAAGTGTGTGTGAAAGATCAGCATGTGTGTATGTGTGGGGGTGTATGTGTGTGCGTGTGTGTGCTGTGTGTGTGTGTGTGATGTGTGCGTGTTGCGTGTGTGTGGGTGTGTAGTGGTTGTGTGCTGCTGTGTGTGTGTGTGTGTGTGTGTGTGTGTGTGTGTGTGTGGTGTGTGTGTGTGTGTGTGTGTGTGCTGTGTGTGTAAAGATAAGCATGTGTGCGTGTGTGTGTGTGGGTGGGGGGAGGGGACTGTGTGTGTGATTGTTGTGTGTGTATGTGTGTGTGCTGTGTGTCTGTGTGTCTGCGTGTGTACTGTGTGGTGTGTTGTGCGTGCGTGGCCGTGCGTGGCGTAGCGTGCGTGCGTGAGTGCGTGTGTGTAGGTGTGTGTGTGTGTGGCGTGTGTGTGTGTGGTGCGGTGCTGTGGGTGTGTGTGTGTGTGTCGTGTGCGTGCGCGCTGCGCGCGGCGGCGTCGTGGTTTCGTGTGTGTGTGTTGTGTGTGTGTGTGTGTGTGTGGCTGTGTGTGCTGCGTCGTGTGTGTGTGTGTGTGTGTGTGATGTGTGTGTGTGATGATGTTGCGTCAGGTCGGCGTAGTATCTGTGTGTCGTATATAGGCACGTCTTGTGTCACGTGATGCGTATGCCTACTTAGGATGCGCTGGAGCCTATACTACTCGCCTGCATCTAATGATGGCATACGCAGCATGGCAGTGCGCTACATGTCGCTATTTACTAAAGCCCCTCTCAAGCCCCAGAATACCCGCACGTAACGACTATGGCTTCCAAAACACCACAAGTTCTTCTACTCGAATGAAATTCAAACGACAAGTTTCGTAGCACATTGTCGATCCGCATAACGCAACCTCTAAAATCTTCGCTATTTTTTCTACCGGCTAGAATGGCAGGACATGTTTATTATCGATTACACCTGGCGTCCGGCCTAAACGCGATAATATCGACATGACTGCATTGTAATAAAAAATGTTAATCCTAAACTTGTTCAGCATGGCTATGCGAGCGAACGCATGGATTTCCGCTTTATGATTTTTTTTATAACTCGGCGTCAGTGGCGATGTGCGTGTTATCATGTCGGCGTGGTGCCTTGTGTAAGGTCTTAACGAGATGGTATAATGCAGAAATTACAGTCACGCAATTGTAAGCACGCTTCCCTATTGATTTGAACTCAATGATACGTGTAGAAATGGCACGCACGTATGCAGAAACGCAACAGAGAAACACACCGCACCGGCACGCACGCTAGCACACACACACGCAACACACACAACGCGCGTGCGCGGCACGACACACACAGGGCAGGGGGGAGGCGGGAAGGGACGCACACACACACGCGCGCGTATTTCACGTCACGCACACAACACACAACACACATACACACACACACACCGCCGCAGCGCGCAGCACACAGCATTCAGCCGCACACGCGCACACACACACAGCGGCACACAGGGACGCGCGGGGCAGCGCCGGACACACACACACACACACACACGCGGAGCAGGCACAGCGGGCAGCACACACGCAGCACACGCGTACAACACACAACACACCACACACACACGCCACACACACACACCACATACACACAGCATAACCCACACACACACAACACACCACACACACACACGACGGGCCGCCGCGCGCGGCAACATACACGTCACACACCCCACACAGCACACACAAGCACACACACACACACCACACACGCGCACGAACCCAGAGCAGGCACGCACATCGACACATACACACAGCACGCGCACGGCGACGCACGCCCCACGGGCGCACACGACGACACACACACACGCACACCCAGCCCCAAGAGCACCACACACACACACACACACAGCACCACACATACACACAACATATCGCACACACACAACAGCACATATACACACACACACACACACACACACACACACCACG